TGTCCCCACCAGTCGTCGGCTGCGAGAGGAGAAAGAACGTTGTGAGCCCGGGGGGCTGCAGCTCGTACGAGACATCGGAGTGCCAGACAGTCGACGTGATGCTGTCCTCCCTTTCAAAGTTGTAGGACGACTTTGCATCCCTGAGGCCCAGTCAGTGAGTAATGAATATGCACGGCTTGCACTACTCACTTGTAGACAAGGTGAATTTGTGGATAATCCTTGGGGTGTCCTGACGTAGGATGAATGTGCAGCCTGCATGACAAATTAGTCGATAATCGTTCTAACACCAATGAAAATTCGACGTGTGGTGCAGTAGGAGCACTTGCCCAATTAAGCGGACAAAGAAGAATCACGACAAACCTTCCAAAGTGTCGTCCCCACTCTAGGTACGAATCAGGTCCTCTATCTATAAACTCGTGCTGGCCCCTGAAAACCATAAGTCCCCTTCTCGCAACCTTGCAGACAATGAGCCACAATAGTCATATCACGGAAATTGGCATACTTCGAGCGCAAGTTGGTCCCTTCCCTCACTATTAAGGGTTGCAAGGTTCACACCATGGACCTCTGTTCCCAGGTTGGGTGTCAGTTCCACCACGCTGGTCGCATTCTTAAGGAATGCACGGGGATCTGCGTGTTTGAGTGCACGGAAGCCTGGATCTTCATGTTTGAATGGTGTGAGCGGTGGATATTGCTCAGGTGAGAAATGGGGAAGTAAATTAGCATAGGAGTATGACTCTGTCTTCTGCTCTTGGCCCCCTGCGTGGAGGTTAAGTGTTGGCAGGGCCTGCGAGACTTCAGTGACGGTTTCGACAGCGGACATACTTGTGGCAGGGCTCGGTGACAAGTGACAGTGAGGTAAGAACCACGTAGGAGAGTACTAGTGGAATTTGATTTTGTAACAGCAATCTTGTATTCGCAATCCTGAGCATGAAATTCGCAATCAACCGCGCGTGATGTCTTATATTTTTGGTGTTAGGAACTAAGGAAGACCTTTCTGCAGATACATGACCAGGTCACCGGGCAGGTCATTCAAAGACACGCCACTTATATATATGGCAAAACGCGCTATATGGGGGCTGGTGGCGCGTCTGAATCACGTGACGGAAATAACTGAATTGGCAACAGCCAAGTTCGGAAGCAATACATCTTATTGTCAACCAAATGGATCAAGTTCCTTCGGTAACAACAATAACAGCTCTCACACAAGACAATAAACATTTCTCGAAACGCATCTTGACCAGGGCAAGTATGAGATAACGTCACTCGATATGTTCCTAGCTCTAGCCGTGTGTTTCAATGCCTCATGGCTACGAATCCATCGCGAGTGCCACTTTGTCGTTTGACTCTTTGCATGATATCATATCAGTAGAGAACGTCAGTGGCACCTTTCTCCAGATTTTCAAATTTAGTGGGTTACTTATCAAACGAGTCATCATTGAACAATTGAGTTTTCATGTGCCGATCACTACCCGGACCTTCTCCCAGCTTTTTGTTTTGCAGTGGACCATGTCTAATTAGGCTTATTGTATAGTGCGCTTCCAGGCTTCCACAGATGACTTTAGCTTCCAAAATAGATGCAGTCACCACGTCCACAGTAGTATAACCGGCAAGTTGTGGACGTTTCGTCCGCCTTCAAAAGGCCACCAGATCTCCTGGAATTATCAGGAATTTATTCTCCCCCCGTACTCGCACTACCTGTTTGCTGAGCCTTCCTTGTGCTCTTTGCCAGTGCTTGCCTTCCTCTCTCACAGTGCCATCCCATTCAGTCTCGACATGGAGACTAGACCTTACAACAGCGCGACGAATGTTGTCGCTCTTCAGAACCTTCGCGCCAGAGCCGTGCCTGATGTTCCCGAGGATGTGGACTTTCTCATGGAGCATCTCAATGACCCTAACTTTGACTACTATGCTTCACCTCCTTCTCCTACCTCATCCACCACCGAGGTACATGAGCTTGAGCATAAAAAGATAACGATGTCAGAATACTCCGGCGGTGCATCGGACTTCGATGTCGAATCCCGAGTTGAGTATATGCGCTACTCTACAGCTTCGAGAACTGCCACGCCTTCGACGTTCGATTATGACGAGTAAGTCTTATGGTGTTTTGCTATTGCTCTGTTGACCGTCATATGACAGTGAGTCACCTTACCCTGAAGTTCGTGCTGCTGTGGCCAGCATTGATGACCCCACCATGCACGTCAATACGTTCCGCATGTGGGTTCTGGGTATATTCTATACCATTCTCATCTCGGCTCTTAACCAGTTTTTCTCTATGCGCTGTAAGTCAACATTCTCTCATCGCTCTTGGTTTCGTTTGCTCAAGTCACTGTTAGACCCTTCCGTTATCATCAACGGTATTATTGCTCAGTTGACCGCCCTACCTCTTGGCAAAGGTATGGAGCGAGTCCTCCCCACAACGCGCTTCAATACCATGGGATACACCTGGTCCTTCAACCCAGGACCATTCAACGTCAAGGAACATGTACTCATCACTGTCATGGCAAATGTTGTAGTGAGCGGTGCCTATGCCACCGACATTGTCGCGACACAGAAAGTCTTCTACAATCAGACCCTTACCACCTCCTATCAACTCTGCCTTGTTCTTTCAACGCAGCTCATCGGTTTCTCTATGGGTGGCCTTCTTCGCAAATTCCTTGTTTGGCCAAGTAGCATGATTTGGCCTGGTGCACTCGTTACTTCCGCCTTGTTCAACACTCTACACAAATCATTTGGCAAGCCTGAGGGTCGCCACATCTCCCGGGAGAAATTCTTTTGCATTGCATTGGGATGCAGTTTCGTATGGTACTGGGTACCTGGATACTTGTGGACTGGACTGAGCATGTTCAACTGGGTCTGCTGGATTGCACCTGACAACGTGGTCGTGAACGCGCTATTTGGCACGTCCACTGGTCTTGGGATGGGCATCCTCACTTTCGACTGGTCCATGATCTCGTACATCGGAAACCCCTTGGTGACACCTTGGTGGTCTGAAGCCAACACGGCCGCTGCCCTTGTGATATGTTTCTGGATCATTACGCCGATCATCTACTGTATGTTCTCTCCCCCTTTCATTGTGTAATGTACTTAAAGTGTCTCGCAGTTACCAACACTTGGTTCACCGCACATTTACCAATCTCGTCCTACTTGACCTTCGACAACACTGGATTGCCCTATGACGCTGCTCAGGTGGTCGTCGATGCTTCTTTCAACGTCGCGCAGTACGAGGCTTACTCGCCCGTCTTCATGACGGCAACCATGGCTATTGCATATGGTGTCGCATTTGCCGCGTTCTCCTCAGTAGTCGTGCACACATTCTGTGGGTTCTTCTGGTTATGTGTGTTACCCCATTCTGACAGTATTATCGTAGTGTGGTACCGACGTGACATCGTTCGCCGCTTCAAGAGCAGTCTCAGAGATGAGCGTGATATTCACTCGCGCCTGATGCAGGCATACCCCGAAGTTCCTCAGTGGTGGTATGTTATCCTGGGCCTCGTGATGCTTCTCCTCCTCTTCATCACTGTGGAGATTTTCCCCACGGATCTCCCTGTCTGGGCTGTTTGCGTTGCTCTCGCCCTCGCTGCACTCCTCGCAATTCCGGTCGGCATGCTTCAAGCAATTACCAATCAGCAGATCGCCTTGAACGTCATGTTCGAGATGATTGGTGCCTATTTGCTTCCTGGAAAACCCATCGCTGTCATGATATTCAAAGCGAGCGCATACATGGGTACAAACCAGGCAGTTGGCTTTGCTGGCGACTTGAAGCTTGGTCATTATATGAAGGTTCCCCCGCGTCTCATGTTCACGGCACAGGTTCTCGCTGCCTTCCTCAGTTGCATCGTTGTCACGCTTGTGCAGAACTGGATGTTCGCCAACATCGTAGACATCTGCACACCTACCCAACCTCAGTTCTTCATCTGCCCGTCCACCTCCACCTTCGGAAGTGCCTCACTCCTGTGGGGAAGCATCGGCCCTCACCGTCTGTTCACTCCAGGTGCCATGTACAGCCCATTGCTCTGGTTCTTTGCCGTCGGTGCCTTCTTCCCCATCCCCTTCTACTACCTCGCTCGCCGTTACCCTCTCTCTTACTGGAGATATATCAACATCCCGGTGTTCTTCGCAGGCATTGGCGCCATGCCTCCTGCCAATGGCATCAACTTCGCGTCTTGGGCAATTGTCGGCTTCATATTCCAGTGGTGTATGCGCCGCTACCACTTCAGGTGGTGGATGCGTTACAACTACATCCTCTCCGCTGGTCTCGACGCAGGCGTCGCGCTCAGCATGTTAGTCATCTTCTTCCTTCTTCAAATGCCGAAAGGTGGAATCACGCTCAACTGGTGGGGTAACACCATCTGGCAGCACACTGCAGATGCAATGGGCACGCCCCTCTATGTGATGTCTCCTGGCGAGACATTTGGGCCTTCGACTTGGTCATAAAATGGTACATCGGACAGACGGCCTTTGTATTACTATCTGTAAATTCCCCACTGCATGATTCACTACGCAAACTTGTTTCATATACCTTTAACCGACCACAACACTGTCCTTTACACATGATTACCCTTTGTTGCATCACTTTCGCATTACCATTATTTGTTTCGGATTTTAGTGACTGGATTAACACACTTGTATGTACCGATTGACACAATCAGACTATATGAGTCATGACACAGGAGTTGATGATAGAGGTGCACCGTTCATCTGGCGCTACCAAAGCCAGCGCATTCGGACTTGAGTATACCGATATTGACATATATAGTACAAGATATAAAGATATCGGAAAGTCAGACATGTATACATTACTACATTGCCTTCGTTTGTTGAATGATATTTCTCAACCAGTCATGCGCCCTCTCAAAATCCTGCCGTCACCGGGTGTCAGCATGCGACAGCTTACTGATTTGCAGAAAAGGCCCCTAAGCTGGGAAGACTTGAAGAAATAACAGTGTTAAGCAAAGGCAAACACAACGGCCACGATGAAATACAGACAAAAAGTCATACATTTAAGCAGGCAAACCCCAGATCCTGACCTCCCTTCCGCTCGTAGCCCAGATCTCCTTGCCCTGCTCTCCAAACACAATATCTGATACATCCCCTGCTTCTTCGAAACGTACCAGCTCATCCCATGACTTGTGAGCAAACACACGAATGCCTTCGCTGCCCGCGACTCCTAGATACTGTGCGCTGTAATCATACAACACCTTATTGACCTTGAACCCTTCCCCGAGCGGAATGGTGTGTGCAGTTTTCATTTTCCTCAGGTCCCAGATGGCAACGGACGAGGGGCTGTCAGGAGCGAGGAGATGGTAACCATTCTCGGAGAATGAGAGTGAATTAACGGTGAAAGGCGATGCATCTGGCGGTGTGATGGATGCAGCTATGTTACCGGAGCGCACATCACATATTTGAATCTTGGATGAGGCAGTACCCAGTGCAAGGAGAGCACCGTCAGGATGAATTGCAAGGGACGTGAAAGCATCTTCTCCAGGGGCTGATCGGTACACCTGAGTAAAGTTGGAGAGTTCATGGAGTGAATATGTCTTGTCAAGTGAAGACAACGCAAAAATAGAGTTCGTGGGATGTACAACGAGGCCAGTGAGTTCTCCCTTGTGCGTCCGAATGGTTGCTTTTGGTATGTACTCGTTAGAGGCGCTATCATGTGCCCAAATTTTGGCGATTTTGTCTGCACCGGCAGACAAAACCAAAGTCGATTCACCCTCGTGCTCGCGGAAAGCGACTTGGTTGACTTTCTTCGTGTGACCTTTGAGGGAGGCCAATACCTTGTCTGTACTTCTATCGTACAGTTGGACAATCTTGTCATTTCCACCCGTAAGGAACTGAGATGGGTTAAGACGGGAAACGGCAAGAGAAGTCATGCCAGCAGGAGAGGCCGAGTGCAAAGACGGGATGGTGTGTGTTGCAACAAACGTCTTCACCTCTGCGGTACTCGTGTAACCGGCTGGAGCTTTGCGCTTTTTGCGGGTAGCAGAGAGATTTTGCTGGGTCTCGTCGATCTGGTCGACTATCTCTTTAGGAAGGGCACCTTCCTGAGCACCATTTTCTTCAGCCATTTCCACGTCTTCAGCCGCACCGCTTGCTGGAGCGATTCCCATAGTTGCCTGGACATTAGCCAGAGCTCTGGGACAAGGACAAGACGCGTCAGCGTGATGTAATAAAGAGTATACTTGGACAGCGCGTACTCTCTGGCAGCATCACGTTCTCTTATGAGACGCGCGATGACGCGACTGGCGGCATCTTGTGCATATAGAGCATAACTCAGTTCCTGGCGAGTGGAGTTGTACTGTTGCTTCAAGGCAAACACCTCCAATACCAAGGCGTCCCACTCATTTTGAAGCATGTGCAACAAAGCCGGGGTAGAAGTTGCGGCGGCAGGTCGTGGTGGCGCAGTTTTGGGGTCTGGTAGGCATGGATTAGCAAGTTCGAATTGAATTCTTCGGATTGCAGCATTCAAGAAAAAAGGAACGGTATATGCTGCTGCGAGAAAAGGTGACAGTGAAAAAAAAACTCACTGGCTTTGATAGTCAACAAGTCCGACTCCTCGAGCTTCTCCCCCGTCAACGGGTCGGTGCCATTGTCAGTGATGTATTTAAGAATCAACCGACGCTCGTAAACTTGGCCAGATTTTGTCGAAATGACCGGGTCCTGAGGGGGTTCGCCAGAGATACTACAGAAAAACATGGCTGCCTATATGAACGAAGACCAAGTAAGTCTTCATGGAGTTGGAAGTGTTTGTTGATCCTTGTTTGCGACACACTAGATCTTCGGATACCACTAACATGGCGGACAAGAAGCAGCAGCTCGTTCTGTCCATAATCGACTTTTTGAACCAATCCATAGATGACGGCACTGTCAAGCAAGACGACAAAGAGGGTCTTGAAGTCGCCAGTACGTTTTATGTTTTTATTCGTCTCTTTTACGTTCTGTAGCTCATCGAGTACGCGTATTCACGTAGTTCAGTGCATCGGCGAGGCATTTGGTGTCGATCCATCGGACGACAAGCAGCGGCAACGCCTGGATATTAAACCAGCGAAGCTACAGACCATATTCGATGTATTCTTGAAAACAAGAGACAAAGTAGTATCTTCGCCAGCATCCACATCTACACCCTCTGCCCCTTCAGCAGAAACAAAGGCCAAGGCTGAGAAACATAAACAAACAGGAAATGCGCACATGACAGTTAAGAAGTATGACGAAGCCATTGACGCGTATACCAAAGCCATCGCGCTCGATTCTGTCAATCCTGTCTACTACTCTAACAGAGCAGCTGCATACGCTAGCAAAGGCGATCATGCATCTGCAATCCTCGACTCTGAAAAAGCCATCGAAGTTGATCCTAAATTCGTCAAGGCCTACTCTCGTCTGGGGTACGTATCTACTATCGATTTCTACGTAATTCGATCTCATTCCACCGCTCCGCCAGGCACGCGCAATACACTTTGGGAGACTACAAAGCTGCCGCTGCCGCATTCAAGAAGGGAATTGAGCTTGACCCCGCAAATGCCAACCTGAAATCTGGTTTACAAAATGCCATGGACCGCATTCCTTCTGAAGATGATGATGACGATGGCCCGCCACCACTCGTACCTGAAGGTGACATCCCATCAGATACGCGCGCTGGCTTGGGTGCGGGTGCGGGCGGACTCGGTGGTATGGCGAACATGTTCGGCAACATGGGAGGAATGGGTGGGGCAGGCGGTATGCCCGATCTTGCTGGTCTCATGAACAACCCTATGATGATGCAAATGGCACAACAAATGATGGCCAACGGCGGAATGGAAAGGCTTATGTCGAATCCAAACGTTGCTAACATGGTAGGCGTCTTCCTTCTCTTGTATATTTCAAGTAGTCATTCCGATTATTTTTTTATTAGATGAATCGGATGCAATCTGGTGGAGCCACGCCCTCTATGGAAGAACTTATGGCAGATCCAGAGCTGAGGAATCTGTAAGTCGATCTCTACCTGTCCGTCATGTAAATTCGAGCTCACATGTATACCGCAGCGCCAGCCAATTTGGAGGTGGACGGTGATTCAATGAGGAAAACATGTTCGAGGTTTTGAAATAACGAGCCTATGCTGAGCATTTGTACGGATGATCCCTTACGGAATGGATTCATGATGACTTTACGCTCTCGCAAATGTACATGTTGTCAGCTCGAACTATGTATAGATACAATTAGGGACGGTGGGATCACCATCAAATATTACATATAGTGATTATACAAGTACGCGGTAAATATCTGCAATGCAAATGAATGGCGGGCTGATAGGAAAAAGCCGAGCGATGTGAGGAAGAGCGCAAAGAGACAAAAAGCAAATGAAAGCAATAACGATACACCTAATAATTCAACAAGACGAAAGACAATACCAAACCAATGGTCAAGGCCAATATACGTTGGGAAAATTATGAGACCAGTAAAATATCGATACGATTCCGGTTCACGCTGATTTTAGTCAGGAGCCCACACATTATGCAGATACATGCCCGGGAGAGCAGCTCTGCGAGGGGGCGGGAACAGGAACAGGATTGTGCGTGTGCGTCTCAAGGGATTGTGAGCCGGTACCATCCTTCCGCATCTTCTCAGCCAATTTGCGACTCAGGGCAGGAGGTACCAAATCCAACTGAACCGGAAGGTCCGTAGGATGACCCTAACACCTTTAGTTAGACTTAGATTCAGAATATTGCAAGTTAACCTTACATGGGTTAGATGATAACGGAGTCCACTGAGCTGCTTATACCGATTTGGGCAGCCTTGATGCGGACAAGAATATTGCTTCTTAGTCTTACCATCACTTTCGCCAGGAGATGCCTCCACATAAGGCACAGCGAGGCCATCGATGTAAGAGGTGACGAAAGTCGACACAATAGCGTGTTGGAAATGGGCCTTCGATCTAGGCCATAGTTAGTATACTCGGCGATGAGAACATGCATACGTTCGTACATTTGCAAATGATACTGCAACCCGTTAATGCTCTGCCGAACAATGTCATCAATACAGCTCCCGGAACTTCGGGACCGAAATAACGTGCCTTCCAAGATTTTCCGCAACCGTCTAAGCCACATCTGTAGGGTCTCTCTCCGCCAGAGTCTTCTGGATGAGAACTCTTATTGTGGTCTGAAAGACCTCGCGAAGTAGTGTAACAAGCAAGGGAACTCGCCGCAGCCACCGGCCAGCAGGTCTCGTGACCGCACGCATATGGCTTTATGGAGGGGCTAAGAAATGTCATCGCGTTAGTCAATTGCGTCACTTCCATGAGAAGATGACCTACTCATTTGTGGCAGGCAAGTCAGAAGATAGCCTCAGAGGAGCATGAATGTCAGCACGCTTCCGTACGAATGATTGACGTTGTCGTGCAGTCGGGCGAGGATTAGGGTCGTCAGGGTTCACTGACGAAGTATCCTGGGGAGGGCCGCGTTTGGCACCTGATCCGATGGCCTTGGGACTGGTAGTGCGTAGATGCACGTACGCAGATGGGCTGATAGACGTTGAACACTGAGCGGATGGTGCAGGATGGAAGTTAGGCGAGACGGTTGGTGGGCCTGTATCAATAACAGACATAGGAGCACAGTGTCCGTTAAGCTTGGGTTCGTTCGACAGTGGATGAAATTGAGGCTGCAATTGCCCTTTGAGCTGTGGTTGATAATAGTCTCCACGAGCTTCAGGTGCTGTTGTGGTGGGACGCGAAATTGAGCTAATGTCTTGGTGCGCAGGCACCACATGTTCAGGGGATGGATAGTACTGATTGCAGGGTGTCTGGTGTAATGCACCATCGACAGGCGAAACGGGGGAACAATGATCCGATGAGGATGAAGACGGGAAATACTCGTGGGAAACGCTGCAGACGGATGATGAATCGGGCGATGACATCACAACGTGCTGAACATGCTCAAGCTGTTGACGATGAGCCACGTAGTAGCTGTCAGTCGCCTCGTGGGGTAGGCCTAGTGCCGTAGGGACTAATGCAGCGGAAGGACCCTGAGAAGTGGTTGGATAACGCGAATCTCGAGATAATTGTGATGGAGAAGTCTCTCCATCACGGATCAATTGATGGTGACACTCGTTATGATGAGGAGCAGGCGAATAATATTCCGACGCACGTTGAGGGGGAACGGGTATATGAGATGGTACAGGTGTGGGAGCGACGCTTCGTTGGATCTCGCTATATTGTGCAACGTGGTCCTCATACACGGGGCGATGTCCAACAGTATAGTCCGTGGTTCGTGTGGCGTTGACAATAGATGGATCGAGGACTACCCCATAGTCAAAAACCGCGGACGCATTATCGGCCGGCGGAGCGGAGGTAATAGGGTGCGGTACGGCGTGAATTTCCCCAGTTTGGTAAGGGCCGCTAGGGGCCGCGGTGCTTTTTTCATACCTCGTTGCAAGTGTGTGCGGAGAAGACAAGGCCGAACTTAATGATGAAGACGAATAATGAAACGGAGGCGGAAGATTGACAACGTGCTGTATCGATTGTGAATGGGAAACTGAGGGTTCTACACTGCCCAACAATCCCACGTCATTGTGAGACCTTACGTGGCTATGTTGTTGTCCAGATGCTGGGGATGGACGTCCGTCAAGCTGAGATAGATTTTCACCCCAATATTGCCTGGGATTGAGCATGGGTGGAGGCGGCCAAGGTGTGGGATCGGGGTACGTTAACACAGGACTTGTTGGTTCTGAAGACATGGTCGGTGACAATTTTGAAACTGCGACACCCTGAGGCTCGGTTAGGCTGTTTCTTTTTCGCTCGAGAAGCCTCCATCTAAGGAAAAGCGGACGTAAGTTACGTGAGGGCTATCTATACGTGCGGGAGAAACAGCACCTGTTACGGCAGGCTAATCCGCTGCGCTGTAACTCCTGGCCGACTTGGCCCCATCGCCCAGGCAAACGTGAGTACGCGTCAAAGAGCCTGTCGTCCTCTTCCTTGGACCATTCGTCACGTCTAAGGGAAGGGTCGAGTGCCTCACGATAGCGTTTTGAACAAGCGTCGTCAGTACGACCGGGTATATGCCTCGCGATCACAGACCACTTGGTTGAATAGACTTCGTAGAGTTCCAAAAGTAGATGGTCTTCCTCTGGCGTCCAAGCAGATTTCTTCACATTCGGTGATAGGGAATGAAGCCATCGCTGTTTTTGAACGTATTGGGAGAACTGAATTGGGATTATGAGATCAACACTTGCCTTCCTGCAGGCTTTATTGGACCTTTCCGGGACACAGTGGGCGACGGCCTTCCAGTTGTCTGACTCTCCATGGATTGCGACGGCGTTGGCGAGAAGACGGTCCTCTTGAGCAGTCCATGGCCGGCCGACGATGCGCTCGGTCATGATAAAGCTTAAGTAAGATAATAGGAAGAAGTCAGAAAAAATGAGGGGTTTAGTGCTAAGCCTCGAGGAAAGAAGGCTGCAGGCATCATCAATTAGAAAACAAATGAAAATCTCCAATCACACGAAATTACATAAAGGTCTCACTTTCGTTTTGGAAATTATTTACCACGCCTTCCTTGACCAAGCACCAACTACTGACCGAGACTGAGTCATTAAACGTGTCAATCATGTCTGCTGCTTATTCTTCGGACGAGGAGACTTTAAATGATGCATTTGGTCTGGCAAAAATTCCTACCAGCAAAAAACCGCGCACGGACCAGGACAGACTCGCGTCTCAGGCTGCGCCTCATGTTCTCGCTGAAGTGAGTCTTTCAAACTTCACTTCATTCATACACCATGTCACTCACTATACCCTTAGGACCCTCTAAATCAAACTTCGCTAGTGACCCGTCCGACAGACACGCAGATGAATGTCAATATTCCCTACAACGAGATGATGTTGCCGCTCCAGGGTCCCGATAATCCATTCGGTGATTCAAACCGGTTTATCAACCAGAATGCACTCGCAGGCCATGTGGAAGAACAATCCATGTCAGACCACGCGTTTAATGCCCAACATCTGACACATTCCATCCTCGGCTACTCGGTCAATCCGTCGATCGATCCAAACGCACCGTCTATTCTCGGCTCGGTCGAAAAGGCTCGCGAAAATGGCTTTGCAACAATTGATACCTTGCGAGCTACCAACTCTCAGAAAAAGGAATTGAAGAGAAAGAGAAAAAATAAGGGAGATCTTGATGTCGTCGAGGGCGAAGGCGCGTATGTTGGACCCTGGGCTGCATGGGACGGAGAAGAGGAGATTGGATTCTTGGATGGTGTTGAAGAAGACACTGGCGATCAACCGCAGGAAGAAGAAGAACCTGAGCCGGTGGTTCACAAGAAGAAAGCGAAACCAAAGCCTGGCGCCTATGGCCAAGAAACTTCCGTCTTCCATGGAAAATCTATGACCGACTATCAAGGTCGAACATACATGCATCCACCTCTGGCGGAAGCGCCTCATATTATCGGTGAGGTAGGCTCCCAAGAGACATTTATTCCAAAGACGTGCATCCATACTTGGACCGGACATACGCAAGGCGTCTCGGTAATTCGATTATTCCCTGAAACTGGCCATCTTCTTCTTAGCGGATCTATGGACACAAAAATAAAGGTACGCTAATCTTTTTAACCTATTCGGTCCCAAATCGACTCATTGCCGTCAGCTGTGGGACGTGTATACTCATGGAAATTGTCTGAGGACTTTCCATGGCCATGTACAGGCCGTTAAGGATGTCACGTTCTCTAATGATGGGCGGAAGTTCCTATCGTGTGCATATGACCGCCAGATGAAACTATGGGATACTGAGACCGGACAGTGTCTTAAGCGATTCAGTAACGGCAAGACTCCCTACGTTGTGCGCTTCCATCCGGATGAGGACAAACAGCACATATTCCTCGCTGGTATGTCGGATAAGAAGATTATTCAGGTACGTTCTCCAGCGTGTTTCGGGCTCAATTGACCATTGAATCCGACCGTGTAGTATGACATGAATTCTGGGGAGATAACCCAAGAGTATGACCAGCATCTGGGTCCTGTCAATACTATTACTTTTGTGGACGAGAACCGACGGTTTGTCACGACGTCGGACGATAAGACCATCCGTGCTTGGGATTACGATATTCCGGTCGTGATAAAGTACATCGCAGAACCTCATATGCACTCGATGCCGGCAGTAACGCTTCACCCTTCCAGTGGGTTTCGAATTTCTCACATGTTAACCATTGATCCGACATATATTCTACTTAGAGAAATACTTTGCTGCACAATCGTTAGACAACCAAATTCTAATCTACAGTACGGATAATTTCCGCCAAAACAGGAAGAAAAGGTTCGCGGGACATTCCGTGGCTGGGTATGCTTGCCAGGTTGGGTTTTCTCCAGATGGGAAGTGGATAAGCAGTGGTGACGGGGAGGGAAATGTGGTGTTCTGGGACTGGAAAACGGGACGTATTAAATCGAGGCTACAGGCTCACTCGAAGGTTGTGATCGCACATGAATGGTTACCACACGAGTCGGTAAGTTCGGTCTAACGGTTTGTTTTATTTCGGTACCGGTGCTAACTACTATGTGCGCAGTCTAAAGTTGTAACGGCGTCATGGGATGGCTTGATAAAGTTATGGGTATGTTCCGTCTTTCATTTTGATGTACCTGTTATAACGCTCGATATAGGACTGAGCATTTCAATACTCGCATTTATTGTATTCTGTATGGACATGCACATGACATGGTATTTTTGTTTGAGCGGTCGGGCGTGCATGAGCGCAGTGATGAACTAACTGGATTGGTGCGGGCAGGAGATCGGACCGGTAGAAAATGCTAGGGGATGTGATTCCATATTGCCAGGAACCGACCGTTGTTCGCGCGACAGGAACGAGACTGATGGAAAAAGATGGAAAAGCAGGAAGCAGGCACTTGGCCAATTGGAACGTGGTTTGACTGGTTCTTTAAATCGACGGGATGCTTCGAGCTGCTTCCTGGTTGAAATCTTGGGACGGATAATCAAGAGTCCCTATTAGAAGTAAGCTATTATGGGGATTGGGTGATGATCTAGGGTCGGTGAAGATGAGTAGGTGTGGAGGACCCCGGGATGATGCAGGCTGTAGATGCAGTTAAAGTTAATGTACTTGGGATATTAGCATTTGCAATAAGATGCAAGTCTAGCTACGCGCGCGATCTCAGATTCGTACTTTGTAAAGTTGGTTCCTGAGTTCGGCGGCCATAGAAAGGCAGGTTCCTGGGTACCGGAAGAATGTCGACCGCGTGGATCATAACCTATTCTCATACCCTCACACATAAAAGCAATTCGTTTAACCCTGTCACTCCTTAACCAGCCTTATACCCCGGTAAAATCATGTTCCCAACAAAATGTTTTATCCCTCTCATCCTCGCTTGTCTCCTACATGTCTCATTTGCCCTCCCAGTTAGCCTTTCACTTGTACTTCATTTTAGCGCCCGAACTGACACCCTGAAACAGATGCTAAAAATTGAGGCTAGAGAAACTGTGAGAATCCTTTCAATGTCCCATAACTTATCATAACATGGACCTACAGGCTGTAGCTCCCGTTACAGATCAATTCGGTGGAGGTGGAGGTGGTTCTGGAGCTGACTGGTGAACATCCTCCTGTAAGTCTTCGTATCATTCACCATTCACACCTGTTTAAAATATTCTTTGAAGCAGCACCGTCATGATTAACGTCTTATGTGCTTAAAACTGGGGCCCCGCCCACCGACCGCGTCACATCACCAATTTAGGCGGCACGCCCACTATATGATCGACTGATTTTACTCCTTTCGACTCTTTGCGTTTTACACCAGCGTCCTCATTATAATCTCACACTCGTTTCCTACCTAACTTGCATACTTTGATCAATAGTGCAGCGACACCTGCCTTGTATTCAAAACATGTATTCCATCTGTTCTCTTTTTTCTTTCTTTTATGAATAGGCTACCTGCCGCTTTGTTACGTACTTCACTTTCATTATTTCTGTCTTGGTTCTATGGGTTTTTTCTTTCAGTTTCAATGTACACAACAAGGTTGTGTATCATACGACTCTGCCATCAATGAATGTTTTAACTCTCCGTCCTACCTCCGGCTACTTTTTTGCACATATGTCTCTAAAATTATACAGTGGGTCCTGGTTGGTCCATCCATTTCAAATTCTGGCGTTCCTGGTCCACGTGATTATTAAGGGCAGGCCTAGTCGCGTCAATATTCACCGTCTCCACGCGTCAACTTTTACGACTGATTTTCCTAGCTACCATGTCGATGCTCGACGAGCCCGTTCCTCAAGATGATCTTATGCGCGATAGAACCCGCATATTCGAGGAATTCCTCACTTCAGATTCCCCAATTTATAATTACAGAGACGACATCGCCCGCTTGCTCCGTACAGATCAAACCCGTCTAATAGTCAACATCGATGATCTCCGCGACTATAACAGAGAGTATGCAGATGGCTTGCTCAAACAACCTATTGATTTTATTCCCGCATTCGACGATGCCCTCCTCGGTGTCGTCACTCAAGTTCATGACACCGACAAACACGAACTCGAGGGAAAGAACTATCGCGTCGGCTTCAGTGGCTCCTTTGGTGACCATCATGTCAGCCCACGCACCCTCAAATCAGAACATCTTGGAAAGATGATTTCTTTAGAAGGCATCATCACCCGTTGCTCCCTCGTCCGCCCAAAAATGCTCAAATCCGTTCACTACTGCCCCGAAACCAAACTCTTTCACGCTCGCGAATACCGCGACGCGACTACGTCAACATCAAATCTGCCACCAACCACCACTGTCACACCTCAGCAGGATGACGATGGTCATCCCCTCCAGATGGAATATGGTCGTTGTGTCTTCCGAGATCATCAACGTATCAGCATCCAGGAGATGCCCGAACGCGCTCCGGCTGGCCAGCTACCCCGTAGTACAGATATTATTCTTGATGATGACCTGGTAGACAAATGCAAACCTGGTGATCGTGTCCAACTGGTTGGCTTCTATCGAAGTGTGGGAGGTGGCTCAAGTGGCGCTTTCAAGTTCGTTTTCCATTTCCCCTTGAAATATATCACTCATCTTCCGATTGCCTTACAGATCCCTAATTCTCGCAAACAACATCAATCTCCTTTCCTCCAAGATTGGAGGCGGTATTGCACAGACACCGTTAACTGATACCGATATTCGGCAAATCAACCAGCTTTCTCGACGACGCGACATCTTCCGTCTTCTTTCACAGTCTCTTGCTCCGTCTATTTATGGTCACGATAAAATCAAGGAAGCTATCCTTTTACTCCTGCTGGGTGGTGCAGAAAAGAACCTACCAAATGGCACCCATATCCGTGGCGACATCAACATGCTCATGGTCGGCGATCCTTCCACCGCAAAATCGCAACTACTTCGCTTCGTGTTGGGTACTGCCCCACTCGCTATTGCTACCACCGGACGGGGAAGTTCTGGTGTCGGTTTAACAGCGGCTGTTACCACGGATCGCGATACCGGCGAGCGAAGGCTCGAGGCAGGCGCAATGGTTCTTGCAGATCGCGGTGTCGTTTGCATTGACGAGTTTGACAAGATGTCAGATATCGATCGCGTGGCGATCCACGAAGTCATGGAACAACAGACGGTCACCATCGCGAAAGCTGGTATCCATACCAGTTTGAACGCCCGGTGCAGCGTCGTTGCCGCTGCCAACCCAATTTATGGCCAAGTGCGTCAACTCATTGTTATTGAATTTGGAGTCTGACTACATTATTTGCTAGTATGATATCCATAAAGATCCTCATAAGAATATCGCACTACCTGATTCCCTTCTTTCGCGTTTTGATCTTCTGTTCATTGTCACCGATGATGTTGATGAAGAACGGGACCGCAGAATTGCAGATCACGTACTGCGTATGCACCGTTATATGCCACCCGGAGTTGAAGACGGTACTCCTGTGCATGACAACCTGTCACAGCCCCTTGCCATCGACGGACCGGGTGTACAATCAGCGGAGGTGGATGGTGGGATAGAGTCCAGCCCCTTCGAGAAATACGATCCCCTACTTCACGTCGGCTTAACGGCCGCGAAGTCACGAACACGGAGGGGCAAACAGGTGAAGACGGAGGTGTTAAGCATAGCTTTCATCAAAAAATACATTCAGTACTCGAAGAGCAAGCCTGCTCCGGTTCTCACGAAAGGCGCGGCTAACCATATTGTGAACGTTTACGCCAACCTTCGCAATGAGGATGAGGGTCAAACCAATAGGAAGAAGGTAATTTTTTTCCCAGCATCTTGACCTATGCTCCATTTTGATGGACTATATCCAGACAGCTCCTCTAACAGCACGCACACTAGAAACTCTCATCCGTCTGTCCACCGCTCACGCCAAGGCACGTCTCTCTGTCAAAGTGGAGTCCGAGGATGCTCGTGCGGCGGAGGAGATCATGCGGTATGCACTTTACAAGGAAGTTGCAAAGCGGCAAAAAAAGAAGAAACGTAAGCTTAACCGCGTGGGAGCGGCTGGCGGGATGGACGAAGATGACTCTCAAGATAGCTCCGATGAAGAGGAAAATGATCAGGGTGAGGATGAACAACCGGAGGTCCCCGAACGCATGAGCATGCCTCCTCAAGTACCGGCCAATAAACAGCCTGCAATTAATCAAAGTAGTCAGGACACGTTGTGGAATGACAGCAGCCAGGATCTCGCGATGGATACGTTACCAGCGGCTGCTACGGGGTCATCACAGGAGGGCGGTGTGCCTCCAGAAAGGTTAGCGTCTCTTTTTCGCCACCCTCCCACGTCTCCGGTTTATCACTGGAGCCCTGATCTGAAAAGTATAATTCTAACTCATGTTTGTCCCATGTGTTTCCATTTTGATAGGCTACAGCTTTTCCGTACGCGGCTAGCGAACCTTTTCTCCACACGTCTCCAAGACGAGGAACAGGTATTCTTGGCGGAACTTGTGGAAATGGTCAATGATGGTCTACCCACGGGTGCATTATTTGGTACTGCGGAGGCTACCGCGGCATGTCAGGTCATGTCGGACGCAGATGAGCTCATGATTAGCGAAGGGATCGTCTACAAGGTCTAATACCCCTGATCGTGGGTTGTGTTCTCGCTTGCTTATCGTCTCATTATGTTGTGTCACATTTTCTCCTGGTTGTAATAATAGCTGAACTCGAGACATCAATATGAATGATCTCTACCGTATCCATCACTGTAGTGACTGGAAGTCGAAGCATGTGGTGATCCATAAGGTCTGAACCGACGATCAGAAGACCAACGTTGAAGTCCTGTCATGGTATTATTGTCCTGTGTTCCTAAGGCAAAGCGATGATTCGAAAACTAAACACCATGTGGTCCTCGCAAGATGAAAACATATCTCTCACGATTCTCCCCTCACGTCGCTACACGGGCGCTCATCCCTGCACAGTCGGTAACTAAACGTCTACAGATCATCACGCAGTCGGAGCACCGTCTTCACCTCCTCTTTCCCTAAACCCCCTGATCCGAGGCTCGTAGCGACATCCAAAGCATCCTCCCAACCATCTCCTTGACCTCCAAGGACTTCCTTCACGGCCCTATCCACTTCCTGCCTGCGTGCACCGAGAAGTCTGCCCGCGACTAATAACCGTGCCCAAGGACCCTCAGCCCTGGCCCGCGAGGTTCTCAAGGCGACCTGACAAGTTTCCGCCCACAATTCGCTTTCCGCATGTACGGAACGTGCCTGCTCCCGTGAAAGTCCCGTCCGGAATTGTCCCCGGGTAAGTCCGGGGCGAAACAGAACTTCGCGCTGAAGAATGTGCTCGGAGATGAGTGTTGCTATCCGCCTATATACTTGCGTTGTCACGGCAGTCGGAAGCGTGTTACGGAGGAAGGTCAGGTGAGCAGACAAGAGAGCAATAGATGGGAGGAGACTTGGGGGCACGGCGATGCCGTCATCTGCATTTTGAGCGTCACTTCCATCCTTGGGACTATGTGATAGCAGTCACTACAAAGAACGGTATAAACTGAGTAGAAAGACGAGTGACTCACGATGTGATAGCCACGAAATGTGGTTTCAAGGCAGATTCAGTTTCACCACACACTTGACTCACGAGTATATCTTCTGCCCTTGACGCAAGCTTCGTGTACTGTGTAATTAGTTCCTCAAAGATAGTGCAATTCGGGACATCGCTCTTGCTGGCCTGATAATCTGCAGAGTTCGGCAGCGATGGATGCATCTCCGCCCGAGAACGTAGGGCTGCCCGATGGTTAATTTCTGTCCACAATTCCAAAAAGAACTGTCCGCAACAGGTTGTTTAGCTTCAATGAGGTCACGAAACACCAGCCGCCTCACCTCTTCCTCTCCCCATCGTCGCATTGCAGACTCCACGTACCGCGCGCTGAGCAACGCCTTGCACAACCGTTGACTGCCCTCAATACCTCCGGTCAACTTACGCGAGTCTGTCCTCGGCCCTTCGACACCTAGTGCGCCAGGGACCGCTCGCACTAGAGCAGATGAAAGTGTCTCAAAGGCATCCAGGGAAGAAGATACGCGAGAATAATACTGCTCGAGGATAGGAAGCTGAATGTGAATAAGGAAACGGGTGCGATGGGCGAAGGAGGGAAGGGGAGAGTAGCGATCTGTTTCACCTTCAATGACGAGCACATCAAAGAAAACTCATAATGTACCAGTAACTTGTTCAACGAGGGCCTTTATTCGTCGAGCTGAGTTC